GTTTTCTTATAATAAATAAAATATTTTTTCACTTGGACAAAAAAATGTAACTTTTATAAATACAATTCTAAATGGAAAATTCAAGTAGATTTCATTCGCTTCTTCCAATATTATTCAAACGTAAATTCCATTTCATATTTAAACTAATCATACTTACTGTCACGTTTTAAATATTCACACACTTGTAAACATAAATATTTATATAAAAATTTAAATGCTTATAAACCGTTTCAAGCGTTTTGCTCAAGAGTTTTCATAAATCAAATTAATGTTTTAAGTGAGACCATATATCCTTGAGCTTTTTATTAAACCACTTAGTGAGTTAATCACAACGAGTTTGAGTTTTCTGATGCTTTCGCATCAGAGTTTTAACGATGTTATACGCGTATGGTGAAATTCGAGCGGTGAAATTCGTCCGTTAAATCAGGCACGAGGAGCATTGCCGAACGTACAGGTGACCCGTTTTATACGATCAGATAATTTGAGATATTCATTATATTGAGATATTCATTATGTACCGGATCGAACAGATGGACGGATATTCCGACATGTAACTTAATTTTTTTAATTAATCTAACTTAGGGAATCTACATGAACATCTCTTAAGGCTTAACGATATTCGCTTATCATCGATTCATGAGAATATATTTATTTCTATCACTATTTATTAATCTCGGTTATCTTTTAATCTCGGTATAATTTACTTTTCGTCGTCTTTTAATCCTTAAAATTAAAAAAAAAAGAATAAAAAGTATTTAAAGTTAATTTATATTGATAGAAATAAGAATACGTCAGTTATATGCACGACGAAGAAGGAGCTTGATTGTGAGCAGATCACGATGAGATTAGGCGAAAGAGGCGCAAGAGAGCAGGCACACGCTCCGGCGTGTTCCGGTATAACGGTCCGGTATTCGTTTGCCCGGCGTGAATCGCATCGCATTTTTAGCGAGCGTTGAATCTTGCAACACAACGGCGTGTACTTGCCGTAATTAGTTTGAACTTTACTACCTATCGCGGTTCGCCATCCATGTCGGGTGCTGTCCGCCACCGTCGCCAACCGCCGCCGTTCGAATGGATGGATCC